CTTCATCATCAAGAGTCCCTAAAGAGATGAGATTCCTATTTAGGTTTGGAATATATCTAGTTTTATTCAAAATCAGTACATTCCCATTTTTAATTTCAAAACAGTTTTTCTAATGCCTTTTATTTTGTAAGAAAAGTCATTTCCCAATATCACTTGTCCCACACTAACCTCAACCAAATCAGTAAAGTATTCTTTGTAAGGTGTCGTGTGAAAAGTACACCCATAATCAAGAATCCAATCTGTTTTAGTTGAAGATGTCAGGTCACATAGACTTGCCAATTGGTGGCTGCAACTTCTTCATAAGCTATTGCAGCCCTACCATCAACATTATTGACATTTTTCAGTTCATCTATCATTTTGTATCTTTTATAAAGTGTTCTAGTTTTCCACAAAAGTAACATTTCTTTCCTTTAGTCTCATTATTGTTCTTGTTGAATTTGGATTTGCCACTGTTAAAATTTCTAGAGAATTTCTTATGTTTTCCAAAACTTTTATTTGAAAAATTATTATTGTTTCTTTTTGAAAAATTGTTTACTTTAATATTGTAGCCAACTCCACTTGAGGAGGTTTTTAACTCACTTTTAAATTCAAGTTCCTTATTTCTTAAGGATGAAACAATAATATCAACAGTGACAGTGGTTCTTCCATATTCAAGAGCATTTTTCAAATCTTTATACTTTTCAGGTAAAGAAGATAATAAGGCTACAGATTGTTGATCATCAGAAAGTTTTTCACCACTATTGGTGAGATCTTGTGAAAGTTTATTAAATCTATCAAAATTGTTTTCAAGGTCACAATTAGGATCAAACTTGAACTGAAAAAATTGTTTCCACATTTAGCATTTATTGGGAAGTGACTTAGTTTTATAAAGTGATTCAAATTTAGCCTATATTTCAGCTGTAGTCTCAATCTCCTACCTCTCTAATAACACTGTCAAATAAATGCAAAAAAATAGTGCTCCATGCAGTTTCTACTTGTTCAGTTTTTTTATTATCTGCCACTTTTCCTCCCCAAGATTCATCAAGAGCCCTAGCACATTTAAAATGAATTAACAGAACCTTCATTTTTCTACTCCAGAGAGTAAAGTCTCATTTCCCATTCCAAACCTCAACATCATCCTTAGCACTACCCATTGTGAAAATGCAAACAGAGGCAGTATCAAGTATAACGAAGCACAGACAGAGCACACAAACTAATGAAACACACACAAATAAAAATAAATGATGCAAGATTTATTTATATCATGCAAGTGTGCACAGTTCAATACAATTAGATAGGCAGGCAACAAGCTAACACAAAATCTTGATCAATCAACAGTAAGTGTAACAATTGAAGAGTAAGAGCTTCCAATAATCTTGAAGAACCGTTAATCCTAGTCCCCTCAAATTCTAGGGTTTTCAAATGAAACCCTAGACAAAGGAAGATCTAGGAGGGTTCAAACAAGAGATCCAAGAAAAATACTATTCGAAAGGGAAATAACAAAATATGGTTGGAAACTCGTTACCAAACATCTCTGATTAATGATGTAAAATAGTGAAAACCAGAACTATTTTACCAAATCTATCAAGAATATGAATTAGACAATTTCCAGTAAAGATCCTTTTAGATCTTGAGTCATGTTCACCAAGAACACCCAGAAATAATATCAGATCGAAGAATTTTGGAGATCGAAGTGCTTTGATACCACTGTTGGTATTATACAGACCCCAAAACACAAAGTAATGTAGAAAATAGAAAAAACACAAAGGATTTTTCGCCATAAGGCCCGAATGTTCACCCAAATTAGGGCTAATCACCCATTGAGCATTCACCGAAGTGATTAACACTTTAATCCACTAAAATCCAACAATATTATCAAGATCAATGTTACAATACAACAGATCCACAAAGGATCAGCCCTCAGACCCAAGAATCTCTCACATAAGCTCTCAGAAATATGATTACACAAAGTAACCAAAGGTTACTGCCTACATAAGAACATAAACACAGAACCAAGCCTTAATCAAACACTAGATCTCCCCAAGAATCATCTAGGACACAAGATTACAGGTGAAATACCAAAGATTTTCAGAGAGAGAACAGAGAGAACCAAAAGTAGAGAGAACCCTAGAATAATCTCGAAGGAGTGAGTCGAATGAGGGAGTCAAGCTAAAATATCAACAGGCAAAAGCATCCAACGGACACAGCTCATCCACGTGTTACAATCTCAGCCTTTGAGATAAGTGTAATTGGGCTGCCGAGTTGCATTCTAAATGGGCTGGACACCTCACAAAAATAAGGGTTGCATCACAGGGCTTGAATAAGGTAAGGGAATTGGGTTGCCACAATTGGGCCAAATTGTTAAGCACCAAACTTAACAAGGAACCCAGCATAGAAACTGGTCAATAGAAAGATTACCTTGTTGGTAATTTCTAACTCCAATTGAAACTTCCATGCATTGTTTTCTTGATAGTAAATACGCCTAAGATAATCCCACATTTTTTAGCAGTGATGAACGAACGGAGATTGTTGACCATAGGTGATTCAACAGATCTCAGTAGCCAGGTAGCAATCTTGACATCCTTGTTTTTCCATGAACTAAATTATTTGGAGTAAGTTGGAGCCCAGAAGATGCATCCAAATGACCTCATGATTCTTTCCCTTTCACAAACATCTTGAACTGAAATTCCCAATTGGTGTAATTCTTGCCACTAAAACGAATAATAAAGTTTTCTCCCGACATGATTAAGCAAAGTGAGAAAAAAAATTTAACAAATCGAGTCCGATAAAACAGTAAGCCCAACTAAATAAACTATGGGGAAAAAAAAAATCATAAATCAAGCTTTGAGTTTCACAAACGCAAAAATCAGGTTTTAAGTTTAAAAGTCATAGAGAACCAAATAGTTGGTCACATACGCCAAAGAACCAACGCCCGATCCCGATCCACCACCAATACTTGGTCACAAATCAACCAAATAGTTATCACAAACACTCTTCACCACCACCAACACGAACACCAACATAACACCACGATCACAACATCACCACCTCACCATTATCACGACCACAATCATACCAGATCTAAACCTACCAACCCACCACACACCACATCTGCTCCACAATTGGTCAAACACCACACACCGACAGGGCTACCACCACGTCTCCAATACCACCGCACCCACATCACACACACCCAACACCACCACCGCATCCAATCACACATTATCACCACCACCACCACCACCTAGATTTGAATCCACTACAACCAGCATCAACACCACCACCACCACATGTCGACGCAACACCATCACCACAATTCTACTCCGCCACTGCACACCCCCACAGCACAAGCCTATGCATTATTGAATGTTCATACCCAAACTCAATGTGTTTTGCAATTATCCTTCCCCACTGTACACACACCCGCAACACCGTCGGTCTGAAAGATTGTTGCGAACTGAACAAAGCGACACTCAGTTCAATAGTGGTTTTCTAGATTTCAATTTGGGGCAAAATGATTTCTTCACCACGAAAACGGGATCAGATTTATTCATGTTGATTTTTTCGAAGGATTCGCTGCTGTGCCATCGCGACGCTGCTGCCGACGCTGATATTATGTTTCATATTAATTAAATTATAAAATTATTACCTGATTTTTGAATAATTAAACTTTAAACCTGATTTTTGAAAATCATTCTTTAAACACCTGATTTTTTGTAATTTCCTCATAAACAAATGCCCAATCCGAAAGTTATATGTCCTCAGTCCAACAACAAATAAATCGAAAGATGCTATCAACACAACACAACACAACACAACACAACTCAAAGCCCAATATGAAATTGACTCCAAAACAAATAAATCTAAGAGAAAATTTCATATTCAAGAGAATAAGTTTAACATATTTAAAAAATAAGAAAACAAGTTTGAAATTTCCAAAATTAGATTTTTATTAAAAAATTTTAAATTTTTATTTATGAAATAATAAATTATTAAATTAATTTATTATTAAATATTTAATTCTAATATAATATAATTAACCCATCCCACCTTCACCATCCCTACCGCTCCGGCGACCGTTCCGATCACCGCTCTACTCCGGCGAACTTTCCGACGACCATTCCGGCGACTTTCGGCGAACTTTCCGGTGACTATCCGGCGAACTTTTCACGACTTTTTCGGTGACTTTTTCGATTCGGACAATTATTTATATTATTAATTAAATATTTATTTATTTTATTAATTAAATATAATGATGTTACAATTATACAATTAATGGTCACATATACATAATTAATTGATCACAGATTATTTTTGAGATCACAAATCAAAAAAAATTATAGGTCACGATTTTTTTATTGGTCACGGATCAAAATTTTGTAGGTCACAAATCAGGTCACATATTTTCAAATTTATGGTCACAGATTAATTTTTAGTCACAATTTTAAGGTCACAGCCATTGAATTCTGTGACCACCCTCGTGACCACCACCAACTTATGTGACCACTTCCGTGACCACCACTGACTTCTGTGACCACCACCGACAACTGCGACGACCCCCGTGACCATCACCGACAACTGTGACCACCCCTGTGACCACCACCTCATGAGTCATCACTGCCACCAGCCACGTCGCCGCCCCCGCCACAACAATGCACCAACTCATATTCGGCCACACCCACCACACACAAAACAATACACCAACTTACCATGACCTCTAGCAACCGTCACCACCACAAAACCCCCTGCCACCGCTAAACCCCCCACCACCACACCACGACGCCCTCAACACATCACCACTACATACATTGTATACAAAAAAATCCCAACGCCAACACATAGATCTCTTCCATTTCCTCTTGTGCCAAATCTCTGTTTGATAGAAAGATAGACAGGAAAAATGGCCACCATGTCAGCCGCCATCGCCCCCAATTCCCTCCTCAAATCCACCGCCCAAATCGCCGCCTTCCCCACTACCCTCTCTCGCTCATTTACCCATGCCACCATTGTCCAAAAGCGCATCACCTGCTCATCCACCACCCTTCATCTCTGGTTACACCATTCGCCACTGTCGCCGTAACCTCCAGATCCAACAACATCATCGTCCACCTTCGATCCAACAACTCACCTCCACCTATAGATCCACCACTATCGCCAGCAACAACCATCGCCCATTGCTGTGTGGGGACTGCATCGCGGCAGCTCGTGTGGAAAGAGAGAGGTGAGAGGCGATCGCCCCATAGCCCGGAGCTGTGGTGGCTGCATAGTCAGCAGCTCATGTGGAGAGAGAGATGTGAGAGGCAAGAGATGAGATTTAGAGAGAGAAAGTATGTGGATCGTCGCCATAGCCCGGTGCTGAGTGGTGGCTGCATCGCCGACAGCATGTGTGGAGAGAGAAAGAGGGTCGAGAGGTGAGAGGCGAGATTTAGAATAGCTCTGTGCTAAGTGGTGGCTGCAGCGCCTACTGCTTGTGTGGAGAGAGAGAGGGTCGAGAGGTGAGAGGCGAGATTTAGAGAGAGAAAGAAGGAGGTGAGAATTAGGGATTAATTGCAGTATATTTATTTTATAAAGATTTTAATTAAAATAAAATATCTGATTTTGGAAATACCAAACTTCCAATCTGATTTTGGAATATTGAATACTTAAAGTATGGTTTCGTGTAATTTCCTCTAAATCTAAAGATTATATCACGGCCCAACAAAAGGAAAGCCCAAACCAAAATGATACCTTCCCAGAGACTATTCCCTCTAATAATGCCGATCAACAAACCACAAACAGGAAAAATCCAATAATAGAATCTGTCGACCAAGAAAACAACACCAAGAACAAATTCTGCCAACTGAGAAAGCAACTTCAAAAAAGTTCCAAGAACAGAAACTTCCGACAGAGAAAACCATCCCAAAAACTCAACCAGAAAACGAGCCACAAAGAGCTCCAACAACCCAGATAGCACCGACGACCACCTACTGCACTTTACCTACCAGAAGTTACTGATAAAACCTCTAATGAGGTTTCCACAGCCCAAAACCAAAATTTTCTCAACCGAAGCACAAAATTTTAACCAAGATAATACTTGAAGCAAAAAATCTAAGAGTGCTCTCATACCATGCCAAAATAGTCTCAATGCCTCTCAATGGAGGGTTTCAATCTCATTATAAAGAAGAATTGCACATTACCCAACTGACTTATGGGTAATTACAATGATTTGTCTACCTAAATATGGTATGAACTAATCAGCATATATCTTCTATATATTAAAAGCAGTGTTCTATAATGCGTTGCGATGCTTCGAGGCCGAAAATCAAGAATTATAAGTTTAAGCGT